TATATATATATACTATTACAGAGTTAGCACATTCATTAACAAATACCAAGGATAGCGTTAACAAGAATTTAGACAGAAATAGAATTATGTAAAATTTCTTATCTCCTTTGCACCCGCATTTTGTGTATCAGTGTTCTCCTAACAAGTTCCCAGTGTTGGTAGAGGGTTAGGGTTCAACTCCAGCCGTCTATTTCTTTATTTTGGGCTAGAGTTCAAAAGGGCTATACCTCTGTCAGTTTCTGCTGTTATCTGCACCCCTGTAATTCTTATCCTGTCCTAGTAATCACACAGGAAGTCAAGAGACCTCCACAACAGGAACACAGATGGCAATAACAACCTGGCAGAAGTTTTCACTTTTCCCCCTATAAATAATTAAATGATAATGGTATTACATAATATTGTGTGTGCTTTCATTAGAGAGAGTCTGCTCACTTCCTGTCTACATGAGCTATAGACCATTACCTTATCTGCCCCTCCCGTCCACCTTGTCCAATCAGAGAATGCCTTGGATTCATTAGATAGAAGGTGTTCTCTGAATGGCGGAGGTGCTAAGTGAGTGACTCCCACAGTGTGCAGAAGGGAAGCCACTGGAGACGCAGCAGGAAGAGTCTGGCTCTTGCTGTTTGTAGCGTGGACCACTAAAGGTATTTTAAGCATCCCTAACAGCCCTCTGGATTTCAAATATAGATACTTATATTAAGCCAAGCTGGACCAATGTAAGTATCCATAAAAGATCATTGATAGAGTTCAGCTTTAAACATTCTAAAAGCAATTTTTGTTCATAAAAAATAGCATCACATGACTGTGGAAATGATTTTGGAACATGAAGTGCTTATTATTAAAAGTCCACTAACACATAGCAAAACATTATGCTATGAATGCAGTCAACTTTGGGTAATGCGTGTATTTTGATGCTGAGCTTATAACTCTAAATGTGATAAAGAATAAATACATAATTTTTTACTTAACTATAGTGAGGGTATTCATTAAGTTGTCTCTAAAACTGCATGTCTTCCTATGTTATTTTAACATTTATTTTATTTCTAGGGTCCCAATGGTCCCCAAGGTCCTATTGGTTATCCTGGACCTCGTGGTGTCAAGGTATGTCTGTTAAATATTGATAAGGGTCATTATTTCCTGTAGTTCACTAGTTTTATTGATATGGAATTTTTATTTGGAGAATATCATTAAGGGTCCTCAAAGACCAGCATAAACAAGCATAAATATATATTTCTATCTTCTGCCTAAATGCAAAAAAAGCCCTGAAACATTTATACTTATATGCATTTGTCCTACAACTCAGAGTTTATGAGGTATTAAATCCAGAATTATGTGTAAATATTACCTGCCTATATTCTTCTGATATAACCCACTGACCAATACAAAATGTATATGCATATAAAAGCAGATCAAAACTAAAGAACAGAATCCAGTAGAATTCATATAAATTACTACCTGTCAAATGCGCTTGCCTGACAATTTAATGCAAAACACAAATGATATTGCAGTGTGCTATTTTTGGGGAACCAGTGCCCAACTATGCATAATAAAGTATTTTTGCATTTTGCACAATTATTAAAATTACTTTAAATCAAGCCCTTGTTCATCTCTGTAGCTATATACATTGTAGAGAAATTAATCCTTAACCACTTGCCGTCCGCCCATTGTAAAAAAACGTACGTACGGCACTGCTGCATCGGCGGGTTGCCGTCGCCAGACGGCATTTTTTTTCTGCTCGCGCGCGCCCCCTAGCGGGCACGCACGGGCAGAAAAGACCCGACCAATGCAAACACCCATTACCGGGTGTTTCACATATAGGCGATCAGCGGCTCCATAGCCCGCCGATCGTCAATATGTGCTCGTTTCCAGCGCCCCGCCCGGGTTTTTTTTTTCCCTCCCCTGAATTTACCCGACGTGACCCCGTCTTTTATATTTTACCAAAAAATTGGGTAATAATAAATGTTTTATCATTTAATATAGGAAATTAGGGAAACTGTTTTGTTTTTTTTTAAATTTCGGTAATTTTTCCTTAGTATAGTAAAAAAATAAAAACCCCAGTGGTGAATAAATACCACCAAAAGAAAGCTCTATCTGTCCTCAAAAAAGGGTATAAAATTCATTTCAGTACAGCGTTGCATGACGGAATAAATGTCAGTCAAAGTACAGCAGTGCTGAATACTGAAAAATGGCCTGGATGGGAAGGGGGTTTAACACCGCGGATGTCAACTGGTTAAAGCAAAATTCTAGCGTTTGCAAAAGAAAATAATTAATGTACATTTCTTTATAAAAGAAAAAAATGTAATTATTATTTTAGGAAAAAGTAAAGCATCGCAGCCACTATCAGTAGATCCTTGGTGCAATGCTCTGGCTCCTGCAGACTATTCCTCCCATCCATGTCCGTATAGACATGCAGTAACATGAATGAGAAGAAGTGTCAATGGACTGCACTTGTATTCCATTGAGAACTGCAAGTCCCTCTGCTGCAGTTGCTTATGGGACTTGTAGTTTTTCTATTCACAAATCCTGTCAAAAGAACTGTAAATGGATGATGTGGCTGTGTGGGTGAGCCACACCAAATTGAAAAAGGCAAACAAGTCTGCAGGGGGAGAAACACCACAAGTAGGGGGCTGGGAAGGAGTTGGAGAGGCTGTGATCTGACCATGTTTCACGTTAAACCCTAAACATGGGCGTAACATCGTCAGAAAGGTAAACTGAGCCTTTAAAATTCACATTTCCACCTTACTTTATATGAAGAGCAGAATCTTCGCAGCCTGCCACCCTTCTAATGTAAACAAACAACAGGTTCTGTAAGTTGTTAAAAACACTCTGCAACTGGACTTCAAAGTTCCAGCTGTGAGCATGCATTACATCACACTACATCCAGCTAGAGAGGTCAGTGATGGTTTGTTTTAATGCTCTTTTACTGCTTGGTAAAACTACGTAACTACTTTAAGGTCCATAGTCTGGGCATGGCTGCACTTTAAGGTTCCTCCAGTGACTTCCTGTCCCCAATATATTCACCTTCTGTTGTATTGGCTCCACATGTTTCATTAGGCAAACTTCTGACATGTCTGAAAGAAAGGAGTGAAGGGAGCAAGGAAACAAAATTAACAGAGAAGCTTAACCAATATAAATATTGCAAATAGGAGGGATGCAAATCTAATTTTATTAACAGTATGCTTCCTGCTCCTCTGTCCAGAACTCAATGAAACTAAAAAATAGGTCATCTTCAAACCACATTCTCAAAGGAACTCTGACATGTCCCTACTTAGCCATTGTTGCACAACTGGATCAGTACTGATTGTAGATATATAATGTAAGCAGTTTGCTACTGAGTGCTTGATCATGTCAACATGCATTTAGTTTTGGCAAATACCTAAATCAATATGCAGAGCCACTTTTATTTGCATTGTTTGTCTAAAACTACTGTAGTTCTACTAACTATATGTAGTTAATGAATCATCAAAACAACTTCTTACTTGACTGCTTGTTACCTAACCAATGAAGGCTAAGCAGAAAAATGACTATTTCTAGAAGACATAAATCTTGGAAAATCAAGGAATCACTGATAAGGGAATTTAGGTGGAGAATACATATAAGGTGATGTAAGTCATTGACCTGATATATTTTCTTCCTTATCATATAGGGTGCTGATGGTGTAAGAGGCTTGAAGGGAGGCAAAGGAGAAAAGGTAAATGTGAAGTCTATTTATTGTTAAGTGAATATTTTACTCATTTTGGACATGCCTGTTTAGAGAATAGCACCTTTACCATGTGATAAAGTGTAATTGTTCTTTAATGAACAAATGCTGGTAATGGAACTCATGAGCCATTCACTGACTTACTAGAGTGGGATCAGCTAGAATGCCAGTTAAAGAAAGTAAAAAGTAAAGTTAGTTTTTCATTTGTTGTTTTATTTCTCTAATGATATGAAAATGATAAAACCTGCAGTAATAAAATTTAAGCAAAGAAAACTGGTTTAAACCGGACCTGCTCCTTGTAGTAACCAACTTCATTAATTGCCTTATTTCCTTGAAAGTATTGGTTGCAATGGCCAGCTTCTCTATTTTTGTTTCATACGGGTCTATTCACTAAGCAGCCGTAGGCAGCCGAGTGAATAACCGACCCGAAGCTAAAAAAGTAGAAAAAATAAAATAGAAAACGATTGGGCGGAGCTAGCAGTGACAGCCAGCTCCACCCAACTGTTTTCTATTGGCAGGGCGCTTCTGCTGCCATCAAAATAAATAAAAAAACACCATAGGAATGCATAGCTACATTCCTATTGGCTATTCAATTTGCAATAGCCAATAGCAAACTAGCTATTGCACCTGCCCTCTGCTGCTGTCAATAACTAGAGGGGACCTGATGGAGAACTTCAGGTCCGCTCTGCTGATTGGCAGCAGCAGTGGGTGGGTGCAATAGCTAGTTTGCTATTGCAAATTGAAATGGCCATTAGGAATGTAGCTATGAATTCCTATGGAGTTTTTTTTTTCTTCTGACGGCAGCCAACGGCTCCGATGTCAGAAGAAAAAAAAAGACAACAGAGCAGGGAAAGGTTTACTCTGCTTTATCGAGCAGAGTAAACCTTTCCGGGAGAAAGTTTTTCTCTCCCGGCGACCGGGAGCCGCTATCTAACCAGGGATGCTGATCTGTCTGTGCAAGTGGCCGGAGCCAGCCGTGAGATGATGGCTGGCTCCGCCCTGCAGTCAGTAGCAGGCTAACGGCCGGCCAGCTTCGGCTTTCACCTCTGCTCAGTCGAGCCGAAGCATATGCCTTCGGCTCGACCGACTTTGGGTGGAATGGGCTATAGTGAATAGCCCTTACAGCAGCCCTTCGGTTCATTAGAATGGGTTATGGAATGGGCTATA